AAAAGTTCTGGAAACTGAGCCTTATGAGGACAGGTTGAGGGAGTTGGGGATGTTTCACCTAGAGCAGAGAAGACTGAGATGGGAAATGTGAGCCATCGTCAAATATCTCAAGAGCCGTCACATGGAAGGTGGGGAAAGCTTGTTTTCTGCTGCTGCTCCACCAGGAAGAATCAGAAGCAGTGGATTCAAATGAGAGGAAAGGAGATTCCAACTAAACCTTTGGAATAACTTTCTGACTGTTAAGAGGCGTTCAACAGTGGAACAGACTCTCTCTGAAGGAGGCGGGTTCTCCTCCATGGGAGGTTTTTAAAGAAAAGCTGAAAGGCCGTCTGCCAGGGATTCTTTAGCTGTGATCTCTGCATTGCAGGGGGCGGGCAGAGGGTTTGGCGGGCAGTAGGTCCATAAATAGCAACACCCTAGTGGTCCTGGTAGTCAGATTAGCCTCAACCAGAGCCAGGGCCTTTTCAACCCTGGTGGAAACGCTCTGTCTCATGAGACCAGGGCCCTGCAGGATTTGATTTCTTTCGGCAGGGCCTGTAAGACAGAGTTGTTTCGCCTGGCCTTTGGCTTGGAATTAACTTGATCCCCTCCCCCTCTTTCTTTTTCCCTCTGTGATGGAGCTCCTATATGGGGACTTCCCTGGCTTTTTTCTGGCCCACGTAGGACCAGTCTGGATAGTTAGCCTTGGTGAAGACTTGACATTTTCATCCCAAAAAAAGTTTTTGAGTTTCTGCTGAAATGAGGCTGCATTTTAATGTTGTATTTTAATCTTGTTTTTTAAGTTGTATTTCAATCAATTGTTTTATATCTGGTGTTAGCCGCCCTGAGCCTGGTCTTGGCTGGGGAGGGCGGGGTATAAATAAAAATTATTATTATTGGAGGACCCTTGGAGTCTCATCCAACTCTACGATTCTACGATTCATTGGAGGTTTTTAAGTGGAGGTTGGGTTTTTCTTCACCTTTTGTCATAAGATTTTGTTGAAGCTTTTTCGTGGTAAAATAGGATCAAAGAAAACTGATCTAAAAATTTTTAAAACAGAGAAAGAAGAGCAGAGGTTGGGTGCTCATCCGTCAGATATGATCTAGTTGAGATTCCTGCATTGGAATAAATGATCCTCCAGGTCCCTTTTCTGTAGTGGATCTCAGTTTGTAGAATGCTCTCCCCAGGGAAGTTTGCCTTGCGCCTTCATTATATATATTGTAGGCGCCAGGCACATACATTCCTCTTCAACCAGGCCTTGGGTAGATTAATATGCTACAGTCTTTTAAATGTGTATGTGCAACACAGGGGTTATTGCTTCGTGGTTTCGGTTTGATTGTTCACTTGTGTTTCATGCATTTTATTCTGTGAACCGCCCTGAGATCTTTAGATGAAAGGCGGCATGTAAGTTTGATGAATAAAAAACAAATAGATCAAACTCTGCAAATCGATGGTGCGATGAATTAACACCCCCACCCCTGCCGCCACCTCCCACTCCCAAGAGCAACTTTGCAACAGATGGCAAGTGGGGAAGGGCAAACAGACCCCAACACACACACACACACATACGTATGTGTAAGGGATACTTACTGCAGCCTTGACTGTTCCTTTTCTCCCCGGTGCTAGACTGGCTGGAGTTGCAGGAGTCGTAGTTGGAGAGGGTGCTGCTGGGCGACCCGAGGTCAAAGTGGGCCTGCGGGGCAGACATGGTGGTGTTGGGCGACGACATCCCAGAGTCTGGCTGCTTGAACTCCAGGTCCGTCGAAGGATCCCGCGAAAGGACCCTGTGCTCCACACTCTGCAAGCCACAGGCCAGAAGTGTCAGTTAGAGGTGAGAAAGGAGCCACTCCGCACCAGGCCATGCTCAGGTGGCCCCCTCCTTGAAAACAGGTCCGCCTGGCTGATTAGGTGGTTGCACTTCTATCCCCACCTTCTGTCCTCCAAGGAAGTCTGGGGGGAGTGTGTGGTTCTCTCCCTCCTCATTTGTCCCTCACAACAACCCTGTAAGGTAGGTTATTCTGAGAGGCTGTGACAGGCCCAAAGTTGCTCAGTGAGCTTTGTGGCCGAGTTGAGGTTTCAAACCCTGGTCTCTCCCAGGTTCTACTCTGATGCTCTAACCCAGGGGTCCCCAAACTAAGGACTGCCGGCCGGATAAGGCCCAAGGGACTCGTTTATCCGGCCTGCGGCGACCCCTGCCGGCCACTCTTACCGGTGCTACGCTGTGCGGCTGCCCACTTCCGGGTCGGAGGAGCACTGGAAATAGCTTGTGCGCATGCGCAAGTGTTATTTGCACATGCGCAAGCATTATTTTCGGTGCACTTCCGGGTTGGAAGTGTGCCAGAAATAGTGTGTGTGTGTATGGGCATGCGCTCCCCCGCCCTCCAGCCTACCACATGATCGGCGCTGGAGACACCAGCCTGAGGCGCGGTAAGTTTGCTGTCCCCGCTCTAACCACTAAACCACACTCTCTGTGTTTGCATGCAAAGCAGGGGCTCTGCCCCTGATTTCAGGGTCCTCCCTGGCCCAGACAGGGGACAGGCCAACTCTTGCCAAATTGAAGAGGCCTTCCCTGGCAAATCATGGGTAAGAATCCCAAGATAAAATGATTTTTATACGGCACCACAAAGTTGACATTTCCCCAGTTTATTTATTCATCTTATTGCGTTTATATCCCACCTTCTCTCAAGGTGGTGTACACAGTTCTTCTCCTCATTTTTATTCTCACAACAACTCTGTGAGGTAGGTCTTCCTCATGGCTGAGTGGGGATTTGAACCCTGGTCTCCCCAGTTCCTAGTCTGACCCTCTAACCACTACACCATACTGACTCTCTTGCATCAATCCCTAACAATGAAAAGGCAGGGTATAAATACAAAGATGGGGATGATAAAAAGAAGAAGAAGCCAAGACCAAAAGCCTTGAGAGCTGATGCCGAGGCAAAGTTTGGAGAACAGATGGATGGCTTCAGCTGGGGATTAAGGGGTTAAAGCCAACATGGAAAAGTGGCTTTTGAAAGGGGGGGGGAGAGGGAGGAGGCACCACGTGGGGATTCCTGGAGGATGTTTCAAGAGACCCCTTGATTTAGGCTGGCTGGCTCCCTTACCCCACTCACAGGTTTTCCACCGGGCTGTAATTCTGCATCACATCCTTCCCAGATGCGACGCCCCAGGCTAACACTCGCCCTGGAGACTCCTTGGCACATCCCACAACAGGCACACATACACACACACACATACACACACCCAGACACCCCCCTTGCTTACGTTGCCCATGATCCCGGGAAAGCCCCTGGTCCCCTTGCTCGGCTCTGGCGCAGCCCAACCCTTCGGTCCGACCTCCTTGGCATGAAGGAAAGCATAACACAACAGCACTGGATGAGTCCCCGGGGGGGCTGCTGAGTGACAGCAGCCCTTCTGCGAGCCCTGCTTGGCATCATTAGCCTGGCTGCCCTGGGTAACACACCAGCTGCCAGCCTCCCATTGGCCTCCTCCGCCTGCTCGAGAAATATTTTTGTCCTCCCAATGGGGAGGCAGGGGAGTTGAGTGTGAGAGTGGAGCTGTAGGAAGGGAGAGCCTGCAGGGAGGGAGGACTGTTCCATGCACCTGAAGTCATTCCCATGCAACACACACACACACACAATGGCCCACAAAGGCAGAACGATGATCTGGTGTAAACTCGGCTAGTAGAGTCCGTATCAGAGGAGTGCAAGTGCCCATCTGCATCTGGTTCTGCCGAAGAACCTCCTAGGGCTCAGGAATGGTTCACATGGGCTGTGCCCATCATTTCATGACTGTCACACTCATAGGAGCCAACTCCTAGGGGCCGAGGAGGTTTTGGCCCCCCCATAAAATATTTGAGGGGGCTGCCCCTCTCCAAGTTTGTCATTCAAATGGTATGCATCCACAGAGTCATATGATCAACTAAGTGGGGCAGCGCTTGCCTGAGGCCCCCCCCCATATTTTATTCAAGTTGGCACCCCTGGTCACACTTCATGATTGCCAACATGCAGTAGTGGTTAGAGCATGGGTAGGCAAACTAAGACCCGGCGGCCGGATCTGGCCCAATCGCCTTCTAAATCTGGCCTGCGGACGGTCTGGGAATCAGTGTGTTTTTACATGAGTAGAATGTGTGCTTTTATTTAAAATGCATCTCTGGCTTATTTGACATGATTCTCACCATGTTTTCCACCGTGCGCAGGTACTTGGCGCAATGCAGGTGCCCGTTGTAGTCTGCAAGGTCGGCCGCCGTGTAGCCATCCTGGTCGCGGATGCCCAAGTTTACGCCGTTCACAACGAGGATTTGACAGCACTGAGAGGAGAAGAGAAAGGCAGTCAGCCCATGGGAGGAAGGACCACCATCAAGCCTCGAAAGGAACAAGGCTGCCTTCTTCTCAAGCTATGGCATGCCAGAGAATCATTTGTTCTAGCCCAGAGCTTCCTTCTTTTGCAGCAAACCTCCAAAGTTCCCTTTTATGCACTGTAGGGGGTTGGACTAGATGACTTTGGGGTACCTTCAATTTTACCTGGAGATACGGGGAGACTTGCATGTCCCTACCCAGCATTCTGGGGCCCAGCCATGCCCCCATATATCTCCAGATCACTGCCCCGGCCTCACAGAGTCCTGTTTCCATAAAGGACAACTCTATTCTTCATGCTTTGGTATCTGCAACAAAATGTTGCAGCGTGTCTTCCTCACCTCTAAACATGTGCACTCATTCTCAGGAAGGGCTGCAGCTCAGCAGTAGGTCCCAGGTTCAATCCCCAGCTGCATCTCCAGGCAGGGCTGAGAGAGACTACTGCCTGGAGTTCTAGAGAGCTGCTGCCAGTCAGTGCGGGCAATACTAAACCAGGTGGACATCCCTGTAGTCCACCTGTTTAGGGTTGCAGCCACTTAGCCAAGTTGCCTCTTGTATCAGCTGTAATTAGACCTAGCAAGCCTATTTTTCCAGCTGACACTTGACATTCCTCTCCGGACTATGTTTCTTGGGGTGGTTTGCCCTCTTAAGGCAAAGAAAAACCTCTTACACCAATAGCTCAGCTGGTTAGAGTGTGGTGCTGATAACGCCAAGGTTGCAGGTTCGATCCCTGTTTGGGACAGCTGCATATTCCTGCATTGCAGGCGGGTTGGACTAGATGATCCTCAGGGTCCCTTCCAACTCTCCAATTCTATGATTCTAAGAGGTTTTGTTGTTTTTTATTTTTCAAAACCCTGTACTTCTGCAAACCTCATGAACGCGCCCCACCCCCCACCCCAGCACGTTGATATCTCCCTCTAGTTTTGCTATAGCCTTGTTTTGGCTCCATCAGTACTCATCAGCTGTTTTTGCCATTACCATATTTTTCGCTCCATAAGATGCACTTTTTTCCTCCTAAAAAGTAAGGGGAAATGTAAGTGTGTCTTATGGAGCGAATGGCGCTGCGCAGAGAGGGAGAGCTGCGCAGTGCCCCTTTAGCGACGCGCCTGTCCTGCAAAGCCGGAGGAGGAACAGAAGGGGCTCCTTTGCTGAAGGGGCGCTGCGCAGCTCTCCCTCTCTGTGCAGTGCCTCTCCTGCACAGCGATCCCGCTTACTGTCCTGGCTTCTGCCTTAGCCGTGTGCAGCCTCTTCCGGGCAGGGGGAGCCTTCATCCCGCTGCCCTGAAGAGGCTTGGCGCGTCTATCCCAGAAGCCAGACCAGCCAGAGGCTATCCCAGAAGCCAGATCCCTCTGGCTTCTGGGATTCAGAATATTTTTTTTCTTGTTTTCCTCCTCCAAAATCTAGGTGCGCCTTATGGTCTGGTGTGTCTTATAGAGCGAAAAATACGGTGAATATTTGGGGTTTTTTTTTAAGTGCCTTATGCATTTCACATACATTATTCAGAAACCTTTCCAACAACTCTGCAAGGTAGATCAGACTTCGCCTTGTTTCACGGACATGGTTTCTGCACGCTAAGGCAGGGAGATAGCAACCAGCTAACAACATTTTGTGGGTTTATGACTGAACGAGGGACTTGTGGCTGAACTGAGGCCCCACTCACAGCATCCAATTTGAAGCATTATGATGCTAATTTAAGCAATCGTTTCTGCACCCAAAGAATCCTGGGAGCTGTGGTTTGGTAATGGTGCTGAGAGTTTGGTGCTGAGAGCCCCATATCCCCCTTCAGCGACCTGCAATTCCCAGAGCGCTTTAACGATCGATCTCTTTTGACAGGGAACTCTGGGAACTGTAGCTCCAGCAGGGAAATGGGAGAGGCCTCCTAGCAACTCTCAGAACCCATAATAAGCTACAGCTCCCAGGATTCTTTGGGGTTGTTGCAAGAGGTATGATAAGTGCTTCAAATGCATACTGCAAATGTGGCCTGAGAAGCAACCTTGGATAAAATTCCAGGGTAGGGCAGACCCTATTCTCTGCCCCTACAGACCACACAGCAACTGCACAGCCCCTCTTCCTACTTCTCTTCCTGGCCGTCAAATTGCTTTGCGTCCCGGCCCTCCCTACAAGACACTCGCGAGGCCGACCGCTTGCGGACTCACCTCCAGCTCCCCGTTTTCAGCCGCGTCGTGCAAGGGGGTCCCGCCCCAGTGGTCCGTGGTGATCTCCCCTCCGTGCAAAAGCAGCCAGCTGAGAACTTTGGCGTGGCCTCGGCTGGCGGCGAAGTGCATGGCGGTAGCACCGTCGTCGTCTTGCTCGGAGAGGCTGATATCCGTGAAGCTCATCTGAGGAATGAGAGATAAATGGCAGGATATATATTATATACCACATTTTTTGCTCTATAAGACTCCTAAAAAGTAAGGGGAAATGTGTGTGCATCTTATGGAGCGAATGCAGGCTGTGCACCTATCACAGAAGCCAGAACAGCAAGAGGGATTGCTGCTTTCACTGCGCAGCGATCCCTCTTGCTGTTCTGGCTTCTGGGATTCAGAATATTTTTTTTCTTGTTTTCCTCCTCCAAAAACTAGGTGCGACTTGTGGTCTGGTGCGTCTTATACAGCGAAAAATACGGTAAATATGGTAAAGTGTCTTCTCTGTCTTTCTATCTCTTGCTTGCTTTTTTTCATTATTCTAGTTCTGTAGACTAGTTTGATTCTTATTGTATTTTATGCTGAAAATTTTCAATCAAATTTTTTTAAGGAATGAGAGAGAGAGAATGAACGAGAGAGAGAAGGCAGGATAAAAGCCCCCCCCCCCGAAATAAAAAAGGCCAAGAAGCTCCATCCCAGCAAGCGCCACTGGAGAGGATTGCGATACAAATGCAAACAAATGCAATTTGCTTATAGGTGACCACTTGAATGTTGCTTGGGCAGCCTTACTGGGCCCCGCGTTCTGATCCCTCTCATGCCCAGCCTTCGCTGCAGCCCTGAGCAGCCCTCACCAGCCAGACGATGACGGTGTTGTGGCCCATCTGGGCGGCGGCGTGGAGAGGGGTCATCCCGTCGTTGGCGCGTAGGTGGGGGTCCGCTCCGCAGTCCTTGACCAAGTACTGGATGATTTCCAGGTGGCCCTCCTGGCAAGCTAAATAGAGAGGTGTGGCACCGTTCTTGGTTTGGGCACTGACCGAACTGCAGGGGCGAGAAGACGGAAAGGAAGAGTGGGTGAGAGGGAAGTGTTCCGGTTTGCTAATGTTCTTTGGAACCCGAACAGCCAACGTAGCTTCTGCGGCTTCCGATTGGCTGCAGGAAGCTCCTGCAGCCAATCGGAAGCCGTGCTTTGGTTTCCGAACGTTTTGGAAGTCGAACGGACTTCCGGGACGGATTCCATTTGACTTCCGAGGTACCACTGTAGGTTTGAGGTGGACTAAATTGGGGTTTTTTGCAATCCTCTTCAAACCTGTGATTTTTTCTCCTATCAGGGAAAAAGGCAGGATGTAAATAAGAATAAGAGTAAGAATCATATTAATAGAAAAGGAGACTGCTAAAATGATCAAACCAGTTTCTTTGTTAGGTATACGATGGACGCTCAGGTTGCAAATGGGATCCGTGCGGGATGCACGTTTGCAACCTGCAGCGTTCACAACCCTGCGTCTGCGCATGCGCAGGTTGCGATTCGGCACTTCTGCACATGCGCAAAAGCGATTTAGTGCTTCAGCGCATGCATGACCGCCGAAACCCGGAAGTAACCCGTTCTGGTACTTCCGGGTTTCGGCGGTCCGTAACCCAAAAAACGCGCAACCTGAAGCGTCTGTAACCCGAGGTATGACTGTATAGCCCTAGCCATGTCTCTTAAGGATCTGCTTGGTCGTGTACGCTTGGGTTAAAGCGTTGCCTCGGAAATTAAACAACTGGAGTCACTTCTGGAAGGTGATTGGGAGAGCGCGTCTCTTTCGTCCAGCTTCCCTAAGTCTCTGTTGTTCTCTCTCACACACAGAGACCTATAAAATAGCCCTTTGGACCAGGTGACTTGAAAGAGCAACTTCATTCCTAATTGGCCTGTTTGATCATTATGATTAGCAGGCAAAGCCCCACTGGTAGCGTAAGTCTGCTTAGTGGCAACCAGGCGAGGGTCTCTGGAACTAGTATTTCTGTTCCTGCAGCGCTGCCAGGAGATACCTGGGAATTGAAGCAGGGAGCTTTTCAATGCAGGGCAGGTGCTCCAAGACTGAGCCACAGACCACCTCTCCTTGCTCAGTGCTGCCACTTCTGCACCCCATGCTGCATGCAGAGAGGAGCTCTCAGTTGATGCTCTCCACCCCCCTCCCACCCCCCACCCCCGCTCCAGGCAGGGCCATCCCATCCTTCTGGGTCATTAAGTTAATCAGCCTGCTTAGGCTAAGCTCCTTCCACCGGCTGTTTTTGGATGCTGCAGTTTCGTATCATGTTTAAATAAGCAGATTAGGCGAGTAGTAAACACAGGAGGGGAAAGGGCAACAACGCAGCGATGAAAATGGAAGGGTGGGGAGAGAGAGGATAACAACCCACTTCGAATCAGAAGCTCTAGAACTTGTGGACATCCAAGGAAGCTGAATGCTGGAAGACTCGGGGTGGATAAAATCAAGTCCTCCTTCACCCAGTGCATAGTTAAACTGTGGAACTCCCACAGGAAGCCATGATGGCCACTGACTTGGATGGCCTTAAAAGAGAATTAGACAAATTCATGGAGGAGAGGGCTAGCCAGGATGGCTATGCTCTGCCTCCCTGGTCAGAGGCAGCAATGCTTGTAAATACCAGTTTTGGGAAACCACAGGAGGAGAGAGGGCTCTTGTGTTTAAGTCCTGCTTACTGTTTTCCCGTAGCCACAGGATGAGGGACAAGCTGGGCCAGGTTCCTGATCCAGCAGGGCTCTTCTTATGTTCTTTGTGAGCCAGTGTGTGAGCCAGTGTGGTGTAGTGGTTAAGAGCGGTGGACTCGTAATCTGGTGAACTGGGTTCGATTCCCCGCTCCTCCACATGCAGCTGCTGGGTGACCTTGGGCTAGTCACACTTCTCTGAAGTCTCTCAGCCTCACTCACCTCACAGAGTGTTTGTTGTGGGGGAGGAAGGGAAAGGAGATGGTTAGCCGCTTTGAGACTCCTTAGGGTAGTGATAAAGCAAGATATCAAATCCAAACTCTTCTTCTTAATTTTTATGGGCTGGAGGAATTCTATATAGCAAACCAAGGTAGAGGCAGCAACAGAAACAGATTCTGGGTTGGTCATCACACACCTTTGTGAGACAGGCTCATTCCCATGAGACAGGGTCTTTTTGTTGCTTGAGACAGAGCGACAGATAACTCTCCCCAATCAGTCAAGAGTCTGACTTGCCCCAAACATGCACAGGATTTGCTTTAAAAGAGCATTTTGTTTCAGATTGGTAGGTAGACCAAACAAATTTGACTATATTGCCCAGAGGGTGGCAACACAAGAACAGGCCTTTTCTGCAGTAGCTCCCCATCTGTGGAATGCTCTCCCTAAGGAGATTTGCCTGGCACCTTCATTATACACCGTTAGGCACCAGGCAAAAACGTTCCTCTTTAACCAGGCCTTGGGCTGATTACCATCCAATGCCCTTTTAAAATGTTTTGTGGAACATTATTGGGTTGTCTTTGTTTTTTATTATGTTTTTTTAAAACTGTGGTTTTATGTTGTGAACCGCCCTGAGATCTAGGGAAATAGTATGGATAATAATAATAATAATAATAATAATAA